CTTAATCTCCATCTCCTTACTCCTAAGTGAGTCTAAGACAATCTCGGGTGTTAAGGTATCCCTACCATACTTAATTACATTCTTAACTTTCCTATATGAATCAGGCATGGAATTAAGCAGGATAATAGCTTTATACGTTTCAGATACCTCTTCATCACAGTTAACGATGTCTTGAACTAATTTGTTAAAGACATCCAGATTATCATCAAGATCCTTTGAAGGATCCATTTTAAAGCTGAAAAATCGTTCAAGCAAGTACAATTTATTAGGAGTTGACTTAAGCAAATATAAGTTCTCCAACTTTTCCCAAAGTTGTTTTGTAGAATCCAGTTTTCCTACTTTTCTCAAAACAGTATCAGACAGGTGTAAAATAATTGAAGTGTATGTAAGTTTATCATACTCTTCTTTTTGTACTTCTGTTAAATTTACAGAAAATTTGCCATTTATGGCTTTTGAAACATTTTGTTGTACCAAAATACCCTTCATCTTTTGTTGCCAAATTGAAAAATCTCATTTCCCATTAAAAATTCCAACTTCCAAGCGTGAAAATATTTTTAAAAAACTAGAACAACCAAAAGCACAGATAGGTCACACAAAGTTATCCTACGGCCGCAATATACACCGTTCTAGATTCCCAGAATTTCGTAAGATTCACGATCTCAGATCAAGGAAATATTCGAACGGGTCAAGTCCAGGTGTTCTAACAGGAAAATCAATGCAACACGAAGGTATGTGAACAAAAGTTCAAATTTCCATGCAACAAGTCTCACACAGTGACTATATGACAGGTAAAGTACAAAATCAACTACCAACTTGCAATCAAAAACTCAACACTTCAAAAAACAGAGCAAATAATTCCTAAATTTTCTAGCATAAGCAATGGTTGCCAAGTAATGACAACCCTCAATCCTAATGATCACCCCACACGATGATCTGCTAATGCCGAAATTTAAACTAAGTTAAGCCAATATACCAGAGATGACCTATCTGAGTCCCTAAATTATGAGAGTTGCGAATTTATCACTTTAAGACCACCACTATTCGTCCTAAAGTCTCTGGAAACTGCAGCAACCCAAAAAATCACGAGCGAGTCCCGAACGCTCGAAGAACAACGCTGTCCAGATTCTTCTGCGTACCCTGAAACAGAAAACTTTCAACACGAAAAATGTCAGAAATAATATAAGGAACAAACTGCCTGAAGGAACCGTCGCCTGAAAACGTTTCACGCGCCCGCACGCGCCGTCTCTCCTCTCTGCGCGTGGTCCTCACGCGCCACCACACGCGCCGGCATCGCCAGACACTCGCCGGCCTGCAGGGTTCACCTCCTCCTGCACGTCACGTCAGTGGTCTCCGTTTCTCCAAACTCCTTCTGAATTGATCAGAAAATGCGAAAAATGGAGACTGATTTTAACAGTTTTTGGACAGTTTCTTCGATCTGATTTCTGCTGCGTTTCTATCGATTTTCTGGACGATTTCTGGTAGATTTCACGAGCCAAAACCTTCACCTTGAAGCTCTGATACCAATTGTTGCGGAAGCTCTCTCAAAAGACCTTCAAACGATGGTTTTCCAGGCTCAGTCCAACGTACCTTTTTCTACCAACAACCAATCCAAACGGCTCCAAACCACAACCAATTGATTCACCTTGGTTGCTATTCAATCTTACCCACGTAGGATAAGAAAGGATGATAATTTATCGCCACAAAGGCTAAGAGAAGATACCACAAAGGTATTCTATGAAAGAACCACCAATTGCACACGTTATACCGACATTCTGGACACTCCTGGACACCTTTTTTCTCACACAAAAGAGGGCAGCCGGGATTCTCTTGTTTCTTATCTTAAAATCACACAATCATCATATCAAAGTGGCTAGGGTTATAGTCAAATATATACTCTAGGGTTATGTTTTAAATTGTGCCATTAAAGGGGTAAAAGGGCCAAGATTCAAGCCATCCATAAGGAATACAATTTGACCGGGTGTAGCTCATGGACTTGGTTGTTGAACTTATTTCATTCATCGGCCTATGCCTATAAAATAATATTAACCCACGTTAACATCATAACTCGGGATTTATTGGGTATCAAAAACCCAACAATGCCAATTGTATTATATTTATGCTAAATGCATAAACACTGTGTTCTCTTGTCCTATTATGAGAAACAGAGAAATTAAAAGAATGCAAGCTGCTGAACCCATATATCACCACGAATAACATTCATAAACTTTGCAAGTTCAGTGGTCAAAACTCGATCACCTTAAGTATAATGAGCAATCAAAGACACATTTCTTAGGTGCCAATTTGCATAACGATACATGTTATTTATGCATTCCGTCTACTATGTCAAAAATTTCGTTAAAGTTGTAAAATTGATGTCATGTCAGTAAGCAACGTTCAACATTTTGATAAATTTAGTGCCAAAACTCGACATTTGAAAATTTAGTGAATAGTCAAAGACAAAAATATAAATTTAGTGATTACTGGCACAATTAACTCTAAAAACAATGGAGTAATTTCCTCTTTAATCCTAAATAACTGAAAAATAGCCTAATAATGTGCCAAGCGAATCTGCGTTAATAGTTTGGCCCACTTATCACAGCACACGGCCCAAGGAATAAAATTCACTTTTCCAAAATTCTGACGAGTATTTTGTTCTCAAACAATTTCTAGAGTATACTTTTATTCAAACAACTTTGTTCTTTTCCTCGTAGTATTATCAGCAGAACAAAAAACCTAACGGCATTATGAAACCTACACCAAGAAAGATTCGTAAAAATCTTAGTTCTCCAACCCCAATTACAAAAGTAGCCACAATACTACAATTTGCTCAAATTTCTAAGATCCATATTCTTCCCTTCTCGGTAAATCTCTCTTCAAAGGTACTTGTCAATTTAAATTCTCTGTTCATGTTTTTTAATTTTATTTATACATATCGCTATATTTTATATTAAGATTTAATTGTAATTGGTAGAAGTACTTTGATTTTTATTTCCTTGATTGTTATGAAATCTGATGAAAGGCTGAACCTTGGATGCTCTTTTATCGTGTGCCCTTTTATGTGAAAAGTTGTTTCATCTTACGTAAAAAATTGAATTTATCGGATTAACCGTTTTACTGAAAAATGGTCACAGTAGCATGTATTTTCAATTTTCATTTAACTACAAGTTTACCTTGACATTGTAAAAAATTTTCAACCAACTCTTTGACTTTTATTCTTACAGTAGTATTTTGTTCTCAATTTCTCAATATTAATACTTATTTGCTCATTTAATTTCTCTCTGTTTGTAGATATCCTTTCTTTTTAGTTTGAGTTTATGCTGTTATATGTATGCACTGACGTACTTAATTTTCTTCATAAGTAAATATTTTTGTTGTGGGACTGATTGAAAATATAATCTTTTTTCCTATTTCACTTAATTCATTATTTTCATCTTGACTTTACGGGCTGCAGTTGATAGCTGAGTATGGCAGATTGGACCGATCTTCCAACGGACATTTTGGTTGTTGTCGCACAATGTTTAACTGTGACAGAGGATTTTACTTCCTTTACCGCTGTTTGTAAATCATGGCAATCAGTGACTTCAATATTGAAGAAGAAACCTTCATTGCCTACTAGATATCCTCGGATCATGCTTGCTGAAAAAATAGATATCGAAGATCAAGAGAATTGAGATGATCAAGATGCATCGATTCGTTGCTTTCTAAACTTATTAACGTCAAAGACATATCAACTCCAGTTGCCAGAAGCGAGTGGCAGGATGTGCCCAGGAGCACATTACGGATGGTTGTGGACAATTGGCATTGATTTACAAATCAGTTTATTGCACCCCTTCTCCAGACAACAAATTTGCCTACCTTCTATGCTGACCTTCCCTGATCAGTATGAATATAGTGAGAAATTCAAGCCACAAGAGGTTTGGAATTTATATGTTTGGAAAATAGCGATGTCCTCAAATCCTCTTAAGGAGAAAAGTTTACATGATTATAATGAGGTTTGTATTATAGTTGCTATTTATGGAGGATTTTGTATATTGGCTTTTACAAAATTAGGAGATACTGTTTGGACCAATATCTCCATCCCTTCTCGCGTTTATCAAGATATTATTTTCTAGAATGGTAAATTTTATGCTGTAGATGCTCATGGAGTTGTAGTTGTTTGTGAGTTTGATGATGCCAATGGCACAAAAGCAACAGTCAATGCCCCAGCTCCAATTGAAACGAATGACACATATCAGAAGTACCTAGTCGAATCATCAGGACATCTTCTACTTGTTGCTCGTTTCCGAAAGGGGTTTCATTTTATGATGACGACGACAACAATGATGTAGAGGAAGACGATGTTGATGTTGATGGTAATGATAATGATAATGTTGATGAGGTGGAGGATGTCAAAGATAGTGGCAACGAAGAGGAAGAGGAAGCTAGATACCATACAACTGGCATTTTTGTTTGGAGGCTAGATGAATGTCATGAGGAAGGGAGTAATTATGCATATAGATTAACTCGAGTGACTAGTTTAGGAGATCAAGCATTGTTCTTAGGTAGTAATGTATATACATCAATTGCCTTGTCAGAATGTATCAAGCAAAATTGCATATACTTTACAGATGATAATGCTGACCTCTATTTCGACGAACCAGGCGGTGGTGGCCATGACACTGGAATATTTAACATGGAAGATGGAACCGTTCTTCAATTAAATTATGCAAGAGAATCTCGTAGTAATATTTCACCTCCATTGTGGTACATTTGATTTTCAAGGATTAATTGCATTTTTTGTTTTGTCATTTAAATTATTCCTTTCAATATTGAGTGGAATAATGTACTACTTATATTCGATTGTTGTTCATTTAATTCTACACATATTGACTCGATATTGTATTTTGGAAAAGCTATAATCAAACTTAAAATTAGTTGCTTTAGGAATTCGAGATTAACACTTGTATTTTGCCATGTTTGAAGTCTTTAATCCTATTTTTACTTATAATCTCCTAACAAAAAGGTGTGAATCATGTGATTAAGTTTTCCTGGTTTGAATGCGCAAATTTGTTTTGTAAATATCGGGAATCATTCTTTTACCTTCAATTTTAATTATAAATTCTGCTCGAATCTTGAAATATTGATATCAAGAGCGCACCATTTCTTGAAAGACTTTCTCGTATACAAGTGATTTGAGGACTACAAATATTTTTTGGTTCCTTAAGAGTCACTAATAAAAAATAAAGGGTCAGGAACGTAAAGATTACTTTTCCATCACTTTTTCCAGTTCATTGTTGATCATAAATCTAAAGCAACCATGAAAAAACGTGAGCATTGCCAATTTCTAACCTAAATGCAGGAGATGTACACCTAAATGATTCCAAAAATTCAATTGAGAAACGACGTAAACCCCGAATGCAAGAGGAGAACGAAGAACCACAAAACTCTCCTCACATCACATGAATGAATCTAAATGACCCTAGCTATTCTTTAAGAAGTAGACCTCTAAAACTGGAAATACGGATCCTCCAGACGAGGTCATTTTTCCTACAACCTGTGAAAAAGAACCAAAGACAACTTGTTATCAGAACAGATGTACACCAGGATGAACAAAATATGTAAGTTAATAGGAAACAAGATTCGAAGTCCAAGTTGTTTTTTGATCAAGGCATTACCACTACTTTTAGTGACAAGTTTGCTACCCTATCATAATAAACTTGGAAGATGAAATGGCTCCAAAATTAGTCATTTATTCATCATTCTCAGCTTGAGGTCTGCACTGTAAAGGCATGGAATAAAAGAATTCTGAAATAGAAAAGTATACGAAATATAAATAAGAAATAATTGGGATTATATCAACCATACATTACCTTACTCTGTCCCCTTATGCTCATGTCTTTCATGCACCGAGAACTCAGCTTTCATATGAAATACCCTAAAGCATTTCAGACATTCTTTGCCTCCGGTGCTTAGGATATGCCTGTGCTTGACCTTGCTATGCGTACGGATTCCATTTTCGTTGAATCGTAATCAATGACAAAAGAACCTTTTTTCTTCGGTTTTTTTTTTACAGCCATTCTATAAAATAGTCCATTAGTTAGTACCTTTCTTCGATTTTCGTTTTATTTGACAAAATGAGTAGTCATTCTTGTTATATATAAGTTTTTGTCATCACTTTCACCACATCTAATGCATTCTAGAATATTCTGTGACTACTCACAATCAAAGCCTATTACTATTTGCTTCTCAGGCGAAGGCTCCAGAAATTCAGTAGGAAGTTGACATTAACTGGTACCAACATGGATTGGAATTGGAGACAATTGTTCTTCATTGTTGCAAGGTCTGTCACCTACAAAAATTCAATGAAGAAACCTCTCAATTTTTAAGTGTATTATCAATGAAAGTATTCTTGTTCTCACTGATGCCACTCCCAAAAAATCTAATGCATTCTAGAATATTCTGTGACTACTCACAATCAAAGCCTATTACTGTTTGCTTCTCAGGCGAAGTCTCCAGAAATTCAGTAGGAAGCTGACATTAACTGGTACCAACATGGATTGGAATTGGAGACAATTGTTCTCCATTGTTGCAAGGTCTGTCACCTACAAAAATTCTATGAAGAAACCTTTCAATTTTCATATGTATTATCAATGAAAGTATTCTTGTTCTTACTGATGCCATTCCCAAAAAATGAGATGTGATGCCGCGAAAGCAAACATTAAAAAAAAAAAAAAAAAAGTCCGACTCAAAGAAGCATCTCACAAATTTGTAAAGTTTTAGCAGGTGCGATATTGGCTACTAGCTAACCTTTGCAATGCCTAAAAGTCTTAAACTCAGATGTGCTTGTTTTTCAATTATGTCTAGTTACATTCCATTACAACTGTACTGGATGCAATACTTGTGTGTTAATGAAGTTATATATGTGCTGATGAAATATTTGTGTATTTTGTGAATCCTTGTAATTGATGAGTTCGCATTTCAATATATATTCATCACATCATAAACCAATAAAATAGGAATCATCAATCTTATAATCGTGAGCATGATATGAAAGAATGGATGTCTAATAAATTTATTTGGTAAAGACTGAACTCGACGGGGTTAAATCAAATTGCAAATGTAAATTTATATCTCTCTTTTTAAATTTTCAATGTTTTGCGCATGGAACTACTCAATAGCACAGTTATGGAAACCACAAATTTATACCCCAAGAAGTCAGCTAAAGCCTGCAATATTACAAAGGTCTCACTTGAATAAGACACAAGCATATAAGACAATGGCCAAATAATTTTTATCGTAATTTCTTTCAAACATGTAATATTATTCGACAATTTTGTATACTGCAGGTTAGATTTTATTTTCCTTTAAAGCTTGCACGAGGATGTGTGTAGTCATTAACATTCTGATAGGGGCCCTATCTAAACCTGCACTTAGGTGGATTTTTATTTTCTTAATACACAAATGTTGATGCAAAATCATTTAATTGTTTGCAATCTTGATGTGCTCTTAAACTTGTCATATTAAGACTTCAATCTTATCAACTAGATAATACCACACGTAACAAGAAATGAAGTACCTCAAACTAACAGCATATTTGTTAAGGAGAACACAATATTTCAACCTTAATCTCGTCTAAAGTTGCTCGATCTATGAAACATAAGTATAACAGTATTAGCATACACATACACAAGAACATTGTAGCCATAACTGAATCATGCTACCAATGTTGTGCCTAATGCCATAGTTCTTTGAGCTTCATGTTCTTTCTATTGCTTTTTGTCTCTGACAAAAAAATAATAATAAAAAAAAAATCAGATAAATACAAACTATGAGCAAATAGAATACCATAAAAATAGGTTTCCAAAAAAGAAAAAGAAAAAAGACTATCGATTAAAAAAATCTCCGGTTAACTTGGTTTCAAAGCTATATGTTAGAAAACTAATGCACAACACTACTTGTTCATGGAAAATCAATTAAAGAGATTCAACTTATCAAATTACATATAATTTGAGTAGTACCAAGA